ATTCTTCTGTTCTTGGAATCTTCTGGGGAGAGATGCTGTATTGTCCCAAGTTTACTTACCACCTATTTATCCTCGGGACTTGCGTATGGCTCCTTTTCTCATGGTCTGTTTTCTGAGATATTCCAGTGAGACAGCAATCAATCCTTTCATCTTTGGTTGATCATTTGTCTCATTCTGAGCCTAGACAATTCCGTATTAATGTTTCATGTCTTGCTGCTTCCCAGCCTTTACCAGCTCCTCCAATTGTTGTACTTTTTGACAAAGATGAACACATCTCCAACAGTTCTGGTGACTACCCTGTGGGTTCCGGTCCAAAACTTGACCAATTTTGCTCTCTTAAGGCATGATTTTGCCACAGATTTTTGGGTTAATCGGGTATTATCCAAGGAACTTGTCATTCACTTCCTTTCCTCCATTATCTCGGGTACTCATATTCTTTTCCATGTTTCAGGATCCTACCACTAGTCAACATTTGTCTGAGGCAGCAAAGAATCTTCTCTTCCAGGCTGTTTATGGCACCCAAGAAAACCCAGGGACTGGCAGCCTGTGATCAATCAGTCCCACCTGAATCAATTTTTGGTTCTGCCTTGCTTTATCGTGAAGTCTTTTCTCACCCTCAGGTGTGCTTTTTCTCCAGGTCCATGGGTGACTAAGGTAGATGTCTCCAATGCTTATCTGCATATTCCTATATCTCAATGGTCGAGGCACTTTATTTGGTTTGTTCATTACGGGGTAGTGTATTAGTTTTGCACCCTACCCATCTGTCTTGCTTTGGCTCTATATGTCAAGTGATCAAGGCTTTTGCATAACATATGCATGCTCGGGGGTTGCACCTACACCATTACATGGATGACTGGCTTCTATTAGTTCATTCCGATTGGGAGACTGCCCATCATACATTGTTTCTTTTGGCAGCAACTCATGTGGGTTTGTTAATCAAGTTAAAGAAGTCATTCCATATACCTACCCAATATCTTGTCCACTAAGGTGTCTTTTTCAACACTCATCTCAGTCGGGCCCAACCTTATCCTCTTTCACTCCATTTGATGGAGCTTTCATTTCTCTATATCCTTACTGCTCCCTCTGTTACTGCTCAAGAGGTCCTATCTCTTTTAAGGATGTGGTCTTCTATGGAAACCCTTATCTCCT